TGAAAAGTGTGAGTGTGAAAAGTGTGAGTGTGAAAAGTGTGAGTGTGAAAAGTGTGAGAAAGAGAACGCCAATGTGTGAGAGAGAAGGGGGAGGGGTGGGGTGGGGTGGGGCACAAACATGTCACTGGGAGTCTCCCGATAAATCTCACATTTCGCCCATAAATTTCCCCGCCTTTATCCGAAGTTTCTCCACCTAGTATCGCGATAAAGACCACAACACAACGCAGTATTATGGCAACACAACACCGTGCACACCACCTTTTTTGTGTGCTGTATGTCCCAACCCTGCTCACATCACACAATGAAATGCAATCGTCCAGGTTGCCTTCAACTTTCAAAGACATGATATGCCGAGTCCCTTGTATATTATTCAAATTCTGTAACTGTCCCCGGTGGTATTGTGTTCTCTGGTGTTGTCTATCGGCTCACGTATAATGTCTTTTTAATGACTGTCGTTTGGGACTTTTTTCCCCGAAGGCCTGGAAAATAATAATCGTGTCTGATGTCATTACTGGGCTGAATGCGAGTGTGAATTGGACCATGATTATGAAGATGACCAAATTGTGTTTCCCGTCGTTTTCCACACAGTTGGGTGCATTCTTAGTGACATATTTCTTTGTTTTATTAATTCTTCTTTGTCCCAATGGGGTGAAAGAATCATTTGTGTTTGTGTGAAAAATAGCTCAAAGATTTGTTTTATGTCCATGTTTAGAAAGCGGGCAAAAAAGGAGCAGCAATCCAGGGCCAAACAAAATATCATATTATATCGTGGGCGATTTCGGAGCCATTGTTTGTTCTGAAGGTGTTTTCAACTTAGAATGTTGTAACTTGTGTCGCAGTTTTAAAAAAGACAAGAAGAGAAGAGACAAAAAAGGGAAGAAGAATGAATGAAGACAAAATGTCCAGCAGAAGTCTCAGACACGAGCGAGCACAAACAAATAAAAGCACATTAACAGGCAGGTGTTCGGCACACACTTCATCCACGCAAGGGATTTTTGAAAAATGACGTCTGTAACTTTTATTATTACGCTTGCCTTCACCTTATCGTTTGTTTTGTTTTTGGACTCTTGTTGTTTTTCACCCTTTATCTTTTCGCGTGTTGTTACCTAATCCATGAAATTTCAGAAATCCATCACGTTACGCACGTTTCAGGTCATCAACCTCACGGAGTATCTCATCGCATCAGTAATACGGGCAAAGTTTAGACAAGTTCACATTCAACACTCATCATATTGCGGGCACAAATCAAGAATTGTGTATTTCTTTACTCACGAACTACCAATTTCACCACTAAAAATCTCTCAAATGTGAATGCAAAGCGTATTGGTATTTAGAAATGCAATCTAGCCTGTACAAAACGACCGCCCTTTGTCGAAGAGAAAAGTGGACCTTAGTGTGTCTTTTCAATAGTATATTTACTATAATATTATATTTACTGTCTTACTGTGTTTACTGAAAATGGTGAAATGGTATAGGTTTAAAGCCCCTATCAACACTATTAGGTTATTTAAGAGGCGGGACATCCGAGTTTAATGACCGAGCCAAACGGGAAATTAATGTAACGTGCCTTTCCCAAGGACACAACGTTGGGCCGAGCTGAGGCTCGAACCCCTGAACTCACAATCTCACGAGCACGAGTCCGGTTGCCTAACCACCAGACTACCGACGCCTCTTCTATGTTCACTGTGTTATTGTAAAGGCGCAAGATGGGGAGATTGTTTTTGTAAAGTGTTTTACGGCGCAGGCAACTGCATAGGTCATATGAGCGCGCGGGACACACCTAATATTTTCAGTTGGTAGGATATTTTGAATTTTGCCCGGGTGGCGGCCGAAGCCTACTCTTATCGATTTTAGACCACCAAGGAATCTTTAACGTGCGCAACTTGCACACGGGCCCTCCGAGATTTTTCGCCCTTGTCCGAAAAGGCTAGGTGTAGATCTTTCCTAGATGGGGAAAGTGATGAGGTCATTTGTACCGACAATAATTGTCTTGGGCGGGAGCTCATAAGAACAGGTTCGACTACCATTCGGAAAGTTGACAAAACGGTTGTTGTTTTTTTTGGGTGTTTTTTTCGTTTTAGCAAACGATTTTTGGCACTTGCATCACAATTAGGTCATAAAAGTGCTGAAGATAAGAGATGTTATAAGAGAGTATCATACATACATACAAAGGAAGAAAGAGAAAAAAGGACGATAGAGGTTTGATTGAAAGAAGGTTCAAACCACACGTGAGCACCCACCAACCACCCATGAAAATTGATAAAACAAAAAATTCGAGTACGTGTACTTTTAAAGTAACAGAAATATGCACCCGTACGTGACCTTTAAAACTCCTCACTGACGTTGGAAGATCAAATAGGTTTTTGTCTATTTGCGATCGGGGAGATACTAGATGACAGAGAGAGATGATGACTGATGTCTGAAAAATAATCTGTTTGCGAGTTTCACGATATGCTTGTAAGCTCCCGGGAGGGTAGAAGAGTCACAGAACATTATGACAAAGTGAAACCACAAGTTTCACACAGCCGCGGCGTTAGCAGATACTTGCAGCTGCCGATTGTTGGTGAGTGAATCTAATTATGACACCTGTGTGGGGCTCTTTGTTTTCTGCCCAGGCTGAGCAACTACACGGGTCTGGGTTTTAAGGGGACAGGGAAACTATTACGAGAGAGAGAGAGAGAGAGAGAGAGAGAGAGAGAGAGAGAGAGAAATAGAGAGAGAGAGAGATAGAGAGATAGAGAGAGAGATAGATAGAGAGAGAGAGATAGAGAGAAGGAGAGAGAGAGAGAAGGAGAGAGAGAAGGAGAGAGAGAGAAGGAGAGAGAGCGAGAGAAGGAGAGAG